CGGCGGAGAAGCGAGCACGAACGAGGGAGATTAAGAAATTAAATTAAAATTCGATCGGAAAGTTGAAAGGGAGGGATGAGAGCGGTGGAAAGGGGTGAAACAAAACTGCGGCCGGCGATAACTTCAATTTTCGTTTGAATATTTCCAAATAAACCTTCTACACTTTTAAATATGGACCGAGGAAATGAAACTCGCCGGCAAAGAAAGAGAAAAAGCCTCGAGGGAGGTAAGATAAGAGCGGCTGGCTGGGCTTATGGAAATTAAGAAATTAAATTAAAATTAGATCGGCGAGTTTTATTACGATACAAACTCGCCACCCCATCGAGAATGCCGGTCGCTGAAAGGAAACAGATCATCGAAACGAAAAGCTCATCGTGGAAGCGTTAAGAAATTCCCGGTATCTTCGCCTTTTGATGTACCCAATTGAACGAAATTCGATTGCAGCGTCTCATTCAGTCGGAGAATTATATAAATATTTCAAACTACGGAATATTTACATTGTGAAATATTATTGTGGTGGGGTTATATTGAAAAGAACGTGGAATATGTGTTTATTTAACGATGGCACAGACAAAATTGAACTAATTGATTTGGGGCACGCAGATCACAGTCGTCTCCAGAAAAATTGGAGGCAAAAGACAGGCTGTGACAAAAGAAGGGGCAGGGATCCTAGCATTTCATTCAGTCAGAGAATTATATAAATATTTTTTTAAACAACGGAATATTTACGTTGTGAAATATTATTGTTATTATTAAAAATGTGGAGGGGTTATATTAACCCTTTGCACTCGAGAGGTGAGCTTCAGTCACCATTTTATAAAATTTGCAAGATCGATATTAATTAATATATCAAATTTAATGTAATGTAACAGTGTGCGAGGTATCGAAGTCAAATAATTATACAATTCTTTATTTACTGCTCAAAAAAGTATTGTCAGTTTTTTAGTAGGGAATTTTTGATTTTCTACTCTTCTCTAGCCAAAAAATCGTCGAGTGCAAAGGGTTAAAAAGAACGTGAAATATGTGTTTATTGAACGATGGCACAGACAAAATTGAACTAATTATATTCGGGGCACGCAGATCACAGTTGTCACCAGAAAAATTGGAGGCAAGAGACAGGCTGTGACAAAAGAAGGGGCAGGGATCCTAGCATTTCATTCAGTCAGAGAATTATATAAATATTTTTTTAAACAACGGAATATTTGCGTTGTGAAATATTATTGTTATTATTGAAAATATGGAGGGGTTATATTAACCCTTTGCACTCGAGAGGTGAGCTTCAGTCACCATTTTATAAAATTTGCAAGATCGATATTAATTAATATATCAAATTTAATGTAATGTAACAGCGTGCGAGGTGTCGAAGTCAAATAATTATACAATTCTATTATTATACACTTCTTTATTTACTGCTCAAAAAAGTATTGTCAGTTTTTTAGTAGGGAATTTTTGATTTTCTACTCTTCTCTAGCCAAAAGATCGTCGAAAGGGTTAAAAAGAACGTGGAATATGTGTTTATTGAACGATGGCACAGACAAAATTGAACTAATTGTATTTGGGGCACGCAGATCACAGTTGTCTCCAGAAAAATTGGAGGCAAAAGACAGGCTGTGACAAAAGAAGGAGCAGGGATCCTAGCATCTCATTCAGTCAGAGAATTATATAAATATTTCAAACCACAGTATACTTACGTTGTGAAATATTGTTGTTGTTATTATTAAAAATGTGCAGGGGTTGTATCGAAAAGAACGTGGAATATGTGTTTATTGAACGATGGCACAGACAGAATTGAACTAATTAATTTGGGGCACGCGGATCATAGTCGTCTTCAGAAAAGTTGGAGGCAAAAGACAGGCTGTGATAAAAGGAGGGAAGGGATCACCCTGAAATGCATCCCTAAGCTGCAGACTTTATTCTTATCGCGTAGCTTTACTGCAACAAAAGACATCATTTTCTGGAAGACGATACTGAGAATAGATAAATGTATATAATTATCTTATTCATTAACAATATGAAGGACTTGTAATTTGCTCCTGAAGTTAAGCAGCCTAGGATATAACAGAAACGTTAATATCATTCGCATAATTGTATAAAGTAATACCGTATTTAGATTTATACTTGTTGAAGGTAGAGCAAATTTATACAACCTTATAACGATGAGGATTAATAATTTGAATAATGAAGTAAGCTCCAGAATTTTTCTTGCTCCTTCGGTTAATACCACGCAATGTTATTAAAAAATAATTAAATCGAAACATAGAACAAACAACATGTATAGTAGCAATTATGAAAGTGGTCCTAAATTCAAAGATCCACGAGAAATTAATTTTTCACTCGTAAAATTCTACGATTATTTATAACCTTAATTCGTATATCGTCTTAAAATAATTTATTGCTAAACAAAAATCGACCAAATCGTTTCTGCGACCCTTTTGCCATGTTACTCTGTCGAGAGGACCAGAGAGTTGGGGGTAAAAGGATAGAAAGAAAATTGGGCAAGAGGATTAAGAAATGAGATGGAGAGGAATGCTCGACGGTTTGAATCGACTCCGTTTACCTAGGATATTTCGAAATACACTCGACGGCAGCGCCACCGCGGCCAAGGAGGGAAGGAACGGTTCGAATAGAGCTCGGCAGAAATTCTCGAAGGGATAAGGAAAGGGGTAAGAAAGGTTTTAGTCGCGGGGGTGGAAGTTGGAGATCCGGTCGAGTCGTCGGATTTGCTCACGCGTCTAAATCTGTCGCGTCTACTCGCGTCGCTTTCCCACGAGGAGGACCCTCTCCGACAATAAGCGCCGGCATAAAACATAGATCGAGGACTGAGAGGTCGCTCCAGCGCCACCGCTTCCGGGACACTGACAAATCATGCGGCCCATGGAGGATCCACGATTTATCGGCCGCGCTGCTTATGCACCGAATAACCCTAGAGATCGAACGTTGCAATTCTTTCCATTTCCTGCATTCCCTCCCATAAATCTTAGCGCGTAAACGTCGTGGGTTACCTGCAAGCTCTTTTGCTTTCGATAATTGTATTATTCTTTGTCGCGCATCGTTCGCTTGCGGGCGCAGAATTTATTTTACGGAATTTGCAAAATTATTTTAGAAATTTTTATTCGGAAAATTAAATATTTTTAATTGTAGAAATTAATCGAAAGAGTTTTGGAATATTTTCGAATTGTTCTAGGTCTAGGAAGATAAAGGCGTGGAATTTCCGTGCAGCAAATCGTTGACTTTCGATTTATTTCGAAACCAAAGCGAGGGATTGGAAAAAATTTTGCATGGGCGTAGACTACGAATTTTTATATCGAACTGCTCTAAATAATTATTTTAAGACTAACAAGATAAAGATGTGTAATAGAATTTCCCTGTAATAGATTATCAATTTTTCATTTTCGATTTATTTCGAAACCAAAGCGAGGGATTGGAAAAAATTTTGCATAGGCGTAATTCACGAATTTTTACACCGGAATACTCTTATTAATTGTTTTAAATCTAATAAAATAAAATTGTGTAATAGAATTTCCATGCAGAAAATTGTCAAATCTTTTCTTTTCGATATATTTCGAAACCAAAGCGAAGAATTGAAGACTTCAAGGTCAGAATTTTGTCTATAATAATTAATAAAATCTCCAAGGGAACGTATAATTGACGTTGCAACGTCGCTCACTTTTTTCCGATTTTTTTCCTCCCCCTTGCTTCCTTTTTCGTTTTTTAAAACACAGTGGAGGACTGACACGAAACGTGTCAGCGAGTTCGTTTATTCAGTGAGCCGAAGAGCTGCCAGTGAGAACGACGAAATATATTTGCGAGAGTTATAGAGGGTACGTAGCCGGGGAAAATTATGTCGGATGTCTCGGATTAAAATTCGTCGAAGCCATGGCAAACAGATTTTCGCGGCGGCAGTAACGGATTCGGGACTTTTGGGTCAGAGATAGAATATCGCCGTGAATGAAATAGCAGGTGAAATTCGAAGGAACAAGAATTTTTCTTTCGTCGTGTTATTCCCTGCTTTATCATCGCGAGGATTTCCGACTCGCGAGTGAAATTACGGTTTCACGATGAAGCGATCAACGTTTCTCCGCCGATAATTAATTTTTTCCACGATGCGAGATACATACGTCTGGCAAATTGTCAGATGCAGAAGCGGGAGACTGATTGATCATAATGAAATAATTGGTGTGAAGATGAAGCGACCTCCGCGATGAATACTAGTGCAAATTTTCGTTATTGACTGAAAATGTCGCGCCATAGGATTATATTGCATTGTGATGAAGACAATGAACGGAGGAAAAATAGAATAGAGCGATTGTTCTATTGAAAAAAAAAAAAAAGAAAAAAAAAAAAATAGAATGGAACGATGTGACATTGGCGTAGACATAGAGGATCAGCGTTAACTATACACGGTGTCCCTAAAATCTCGGCACAACTGACCAAGTGATTCTCGAATACAAAAATAAGTCAAAGAAAAGAATAATATTTTCCCATTCGAGTTTCTGTTTCCGGGAAATACGAGATCAAAAAGCTGTCAAGTACTCGTGCCCTATTTGCGAGTTTCGACTCCGAGCACGATTTTTGGGGACACCCGTTGTAACGAAAGATAACAAGCACGTCGACGTAACTTATCCTACTACTATGTCAGAATATGCTGCCAAGAGGGTAGAAGTATGGATTTGAAGAGCTTCAAAGCTGGGAGTCAAGCGGAGCAAACGTGTCCCTTTTGCCTCTGTGCCGCACATACCAGAGGCATGCAGTGCTAGACCCGAGTCTGCAGATGGAAGGGACACGGGTCTGATTGGTCGGAGCGTAATATATAGTGCTTTTCCACGTAGGCTTATAAATTTCGCTAGTTCCCGGAAAGATAAGCTATTATATTCCTCTCCATCTGTTCCGGGAAAGCGATTTTCCCAAAACAAATACCGACAGTGAGCACTGTGAAGGCTAGCACTAGGGGTGGTCGTTTGGAGTGGAATGACGAGTCGACGGTATCTAGCGACACTCACCCGGTTGTAAATGGCGATGTCGGGCACTCCAGGGCCGGCACAAGTGAGCACGTAATTCGAATGATCGGTGGAAAACTTGGCGGTGTTGTAGAGACACCGGTTCCTGTCCGTTTCCCGCACGATGCCGCAGCTTAAGCACCTCGGCTTCCTGTCGTCGGTAGTCCTTGTGGATATCCTGTACAAATGCTGCACCGCGGACTCCTCTTTCGTCGTGGCGAGGTAGTAGCTGCGGAGAGAGCAGAGATCAGAGTAGAGCCAGACAGAGGAGCCGGGACTAGGGAAAAAAGGAGGACGAGGAAGAAACACGAGTGGAGAGGATAGGGGTGGCGAAATGAGAGAAAAAGATGGCGGCGAAGGATATAACGCGCGTTCATTTGCATAGGCTGCTCTTTAATGGCTTTGTAATCGCGAGAACCGTCGCGAATTTGCATTGCAACGAGTTCGCTTTGTTTACTTTACCAACACGTGCTTACGCCACTGAGGGCTGCCGGGAAGGGAAAGAAAGTTCTCGATGTACTCTGTCTGGATCCGGAGCTGGCTTTCGCGGTTCCGCGGTTTCTTTTGCATTCTTTTGCAGGCAAATCGAGCGTGCATCCACTCCCCAACCCCCGGTATAAATACCGCGGGATGTTTCGAGCTGGAAGGGTTTCGAGTTGGCTGCCTGGCGAAGATTGATCGATGAAGTTTCGTGAGGAACAGGGTGAAATTGATTTTACAGTGGATGGTTAACGATATCGATGAAAGATCGTGGTATCGGAGATTTACAGATTCATCGTTTAGAGGCGGCGAAGTTTCAAGGGATAATTTATTCGTTGCTGAGACCAGAAGAAACTGGTAAAGTTTATTAAGGAACACAGAGGGGAGAGAGGCTATGAAAGATCACGGAATTGAGCGATCGCGGTGATCAATTCCGATTAGACGTCAGATGGGACGCTCGGCTTATGTTGTTGGAGGGAAAGATTTCCGTGGGTCGAATCCAGAGGCGGATGTTACATAAATGTTTTCAGGGTGAGGGTCAAGCTTGACAGGCCTTATGTTAGACGTTGCGATTCCGAGCTGTTAAGGCTGATTTATACGTTCCGTCGGCGTTGCAGGTCCCGGAGGCTGCAACGCGATCGGACCCCGTTTGCCTCCATTTGCATTAATGCCGATCGATCGCGTGGCAGTTAATCAATCCGTGATTAACCCGAATTACTCGCTTCTTTCCGGGTTAAATTCGTGTCGGTTTTACCGCCTCGTTATCAGTCGATAAAACCGATTTCGGATTTTGAAAAATTTTACAGCAGTCGTTTTTACGCCATTGGCATAGACCCCATTCGGGGTACAGTCACGTAGAGAAAATGGCGTTTAGAGAAAAATTCAGTTGGTCACGAGTAGACGAGACAGGCGAGGATGAATACGAATATGAAACAGTAATTAGATTAGAAGTACACGTGGAATATTGAAATAAAATACACGCGATTTTTCTTTATTTTATAAATAGTATAACCAAGCTGTGAAAAATATAGGAAAAGCTTAAAATCGTTATATCGTGTCTTTACAGCGAAGAATCTTCAAGCGCAAAGGGTATCTCTGCCACCCCATATTAACCCTTTGCACTCGAGAGGTGAGCTTCAGTCACCATTTCATAAAATTTAGAATATCGGTATTAATTAATATATCAAATTTAATGTAATGTAACAGTGTGCGAGGTATTGAAATTAAATAATTCTACAATTCTATTATTATACAATTCTATATTTACTACTTAAAAAAGTATCGTCAGTTTTTTAGTAGAGAATCTTTGAATTTCTACTCTTTTCTAGCCAAAAAATCGTCGAGTGCAAAAGGTTAATTTTGTGAGAGAACTTTTTATTTTTAATTATGTCGCCCTGCATTGGGATTTATCTTGTTTTGAGGAAAATTAATTAACTGCATGGTTCCTCGAAGTTAGGCTAAATAACGCAATGGGTTGGTGTCATAAAGCCTATGGGAATCTTACAGAAAACCTCGTGTCAGTTTTATCGCCTGGTTATCAGTCGACAAAACTGATTTTGGAGTTTGAAAAATTTTCCAGGGATCGTTTTTACGCCATTGGCGTAGACGTTACTTCCGATTCGGGGTAAAGTCACGTAGAGAAAATGTCATTTAGGGAAAAATTCAGTCGGTCACGAGCAAACGAGACAGGCCAGGATGAATCCTGCCCGATACGAGATCTCGCCTAGGGAAAAATTCCATCTGCGGACAGATTCTTCCTATTTATTTTCTTCCCAGCTAGAGCAATCGAAGCATCCGATGGAAAAGGGATACACGAGTCAAAATGACATCTCGCGCGTTTTATTGGGCTGTCTATTATCCGATAAGAATTTTTCTTTCTTTCTTTGACAATCACTGACAAAGGATTCGAGGATGATGTATTGCGTTATTCGCGATTTTTCTTTCTACCTTTTGACTCGTTTCACTCACTTTTACACGGTCTTTGTCCGATTATTTATTCGACCAGAAATATATGATGGTATATTTATACGCGGTTTTTCCTTTTACCTTTTAACTCGTTTCATTCAATTTTACACGGCCTTTGTTCAATTACACCATTTTCTTTTTATGCCTTTTATTCGTGTTCGCGCCATTTTCTTAACACATTTTTGTCTGTTCTCATCCTCAGACCCAGGCAACCGGAAAATGTTGAGAAATGTTGCTATCGAATGCGATGACGAACTTTAAATTGTTTTTTCCATTGTTTCCGACGGTTTAGCACGAGTTTTATACCTCGCTGCGAATCAATTGATTTACGACTTCTCAACGCGGTTTTTCCTTTATACATCTCTTATTTTCACAGGCTATCCGCCGGGCAAAAAGAATAGAAGATATACATCTCTCTAATAAATTTTAAAATCCGCGGGTGGAGCCTCTGCTGGATGAAACAAAGACGAAAAATTTCACTCCCCATTAAGCTTTGCAAACGAGAGACGAAAATAATGATGCATGGAGTATATAATAAATAATTAAAAAATAACTCGAGACAAATTTTCTGAATTAAAATATACGTAGAACATCGATGAAAGTGCTGGGATTATTGCTCGCTGTATTACAAGTAGCTTTCTAAAAAGCTTTAGAACATGGAAAAATTTTAATCTATATTATGGTATTCGTTTCCAAAGGATTAATTCGCCAAAATCTCTCCGTTGCGAGGAACGATGTTACATCAATCGTAATGCCAAAAATTCAAGAAATTAAAAAGAAATTTAGGCAGAAACACGACAGTACGAAATTATCTAAAATTACTGAAACTTCTTCCACGCGAAGTGCTACATAATATTCCCACAAAATGAAGTGTTAACCCTTTGCACTTGGTAATTGTTTCGTTACAAAAGAATAGTAATTCGAAGACGTTCTACCATAAAGTTGACGATATCTTTAAAAAGGTAAATAAAAAATCGTATGCAAATTAAGACGTAGAATTATTTTAATTCGACATTCCACGCATGGTTGGGTAATTTTGCCATTAACTGCCAAATGCACAAAAGGTTGTGTAACAGTATAATTATATTCAAATTATGCTTTGTTTTGAAAATATTCGATATTTTTGAAAAAGTCCCAAAATAGGTATCGTTATAAAATGACAAATAAAATCATTTCAATAAGAAACAAAAGACCGAGTAGGTAACAAATTGTTACTATAACCTCTAAATTACATATTTATGCACGGTATTTGATTATAATATAAAAACCAAACCAAAAATATAATGCTTCATATATGACAATTTGGTTCCGTTCAATTTACACGCGAATTTCAAGTTTGTTCGTTCGTTATACACAAACGAAGCACAGAATACACACTTTTTGCTACATACAATATTGACTGATATATATAGAACAAAACTAAACTGTCAGGCATATCAAATATATTTCTCGCGCCGAGTGGTGTACGTAAAATTTCAAAATCCCCAAATGGGGATCGTGGCAGCTAATGGGTTGACATCCATCTTTAGAATTTAACTAAATTCAAAGCGTTAAACGTTAAAAAAATAAAAAAAATAAAAAAAATAATTTAACTACATTCGTTTCGCTGGCAAAAATCGTCTCGATCATTATCGAACAAGGGAGACCCGTTGGCCCCCCGGGGAAAAATTCGCGACGTCACTCGATTTGCACCCCATCTTGACCCAGACAGCGACAACGCGATTCCACACGGATCAAAGCGCGAAGGGTCGGAAAGGTGGTTTCAATCTGCCGTGTTATCTCGCGGGAAGTCGCGGCGACAAAGATGTGTCGCGACACACGCTTCGCGCAATCTAATTCGGAGAGGGTGGCGGAAAGGCGAACGACGTCTGTGCAATTTCCATGGCGCGTGGTTCGACGGATCCGCGGCCGGATAGGAAAACGGGCGAACTGGGTAACCAAGGGGTCCCAGCGCTGCAGTTTTGCCCGGGCTAATCCGTGTCTAATCTAAATCTGCGTCTGCCGACTTACTCCCGCCGCGGCGGTCAGCTTACGTCGCAATTTCTATGCGCATAGATCAGATGTAGCGACCCGGTTGGACAAACACCGACCCACCCCGATGCTCCGGGGTTAGATTTCACGTGTTCCAACACACGAGCAAGCCGCGGAAGAGCCGTCGAGTTTTAATTCGAGCAAAGGGAACACGCGATGTTACGCCACTGTCGGGTTCAAACGAGCTGAAATAAATTCAAGATGGCAGGATTAAACGTGTCCTGCAGATCGTTCACGCTGCAACAACCGATATATAGCGAGTAGCTGAATATACAATTGATGACATATATGCGCAGGATCGTGGTGTGTGGATTGGCTAAAGTAACGTTGCTTTACTGCTTCTTAAAATACAATAAACTTATGCTTATATTATCGGCTACGAAACTAAAGACTCGCTACGGGTACGCTCGACTTTTACTTGTTAGACGCTATCTTGAAGACCATGAAGGACTGCCCTAGCCCGCGCCCTTGCACCCTTATTTAAACCGTTCATCCTCCTCGTTCATACCCGGACTTTCTTCCCCAGTCATGCTCCTTTCTCACGCAACCTCGGTGGGCCAGGCACTTCAACCACTCTGCACGCATCCTTAAACTTTCGCTCGACTCTACCATAAATAATCCTTGCAGTCGATCCTTGCACACATGGTCACTTTCATTCTAAGTCCAGACACACTCGACATTTCCCAGAGCCACGCTTATTCCATTCCCACATATGTAGGATGGCGAAACTGGCTTTGTGACACCAAAAATTCA